ATTTATCTAACAACAATATCTCTATAATATGTTTTTAACTTGTTCACACAAATCTTCTCTTGGTTTCTCTCACATTGAAAATAATTCACGTATAAATTCTACATCGTCGTAAAACTAACAGTTTACAATCAAATAATTTCTTTCTTAAAATCTAATTTCACGAGAATTAAATCTAAATTCAACGAGTTTATTATTATAAAAGTCTAAAGACTCAAGGAAAAATATTATAAGTTAAATATTATATGTTAAATGTTAAAACTGTAAACTTAGAATACTGACCTTAGGTCTGGGATGGTTTGTTGAGATCTGTGGTTCTCCATCTAGTGACAATCTGAGATTGACGAAACATAACATATACCAGGCCCTTATATAGTCTCCCACCTCTTCGATTTCAGGTTTAACCTTCTTCCCCATTTTACCTTTTCTAAAAAATTTTCATCCCTCTTAAAATTCCAAGAAATATTCCTTTATTTATTAGTACTATTCTTAGTCAATTTAGGGTAGTAGGTATAAAAAAGTTAGTTTCACAAATGGTCCAAATTTTTGACAAAAAAAAAAAAAAAACAAAGAAAAAAAAGATATTAATCACAATGGAACTTTTAGTAATAAGATTCGTTTAAAGATATTTCCCTACATTATTAACCCTTTGAATTTTCCTACATTAACCTTCAAATTTTTCAAATAGTTTCTTCGACCATTTGTTTTTTTTTCTTTTTTCTTTTTTTTTCATACTTTTTTCTTTCATTTCCGCACAACTCTTACATTTGTCGTTTCATACGACTTTTGTATTTATATTCATTTTTCACGTATCCTACATGTACGAAGATAAACATAGATCATATTTCATGATTTTTAAAATGTTTATAGGAATTTATTATTTTTTTTTTTTTTTATGGATAAAATTTATTGATGCTTCTTATGAATGATGGAAAGTACGAACAAATCTTCTTCTGGAAAAATACTTTTCGAGTTTTTTTTACCTGAATTCTTTTCGGACTTTTACATGTGTTGTTCACATCAAATGGGTAGATGATGTGACTGTGTCGAATTATTTGAAATATCTTTTTTCAATGAATAAAAAATAGGTAAACGAAAAAACGACTTTCTCAGGTCAAGTAGGCTTCAGGTTACTATTTAGGATAGAAAAAGTTTTATTCCTTAGAATTCTATTGTTAAGATTTGGGGGGGAAAAGTTGTTGTTGGACTGTGAAATATTTCTATTCATCATTAGTTTTAGGAATTAGGAATTAGGAATTATTGAGTTCAAAGAAATATTCTATTTTTCTATTATTTTATCTACATTTTCTTCTAATATAATACAACTTTCTTCTAATATTATATTTCAATCTGTGTTATAGAAAAATTAAGATCACGTGTTTCAGAAGAAAATAATATTTTTAAGAAATTGTTAAATAAACTAACAAAATTAATTCTATTTTCTGTTTTTTTTTTTTTTTTTGAGGTAGAATTTAAAGGATATAGTTTATATAATAATAGAAAAATAGAATATTTTTTCTATATTTTTTCTATATTTTTTTTTATATTTTAATATTATTATATTATTATTCAGAAATGATGTCCTTGGGACTATCACCAACAACATTTTCAACCGGGTGGTCTCAGGGTCGCATAGACTGCTGTGCTTTGCAAGGTGCTACCTAGGGACTGCAATGATAATAGGCTCTTCCTCGCCAAGGTTCAAAATATCTATATATATAGATATGTTGAACTGATTGAAATGTTTTTTCAAGGAGATTGGAATGCTGAAAAAATTGTAAACGAATGAAACAAATTTTGAGGGTTAAAATGGTTTCAGGTTACTTTTGTAGGAGATAGGAAAAAAATTCTTTGGAATGTGAAATATTTCTATTCATCAGTGTATACATTTGATTTTCTAAAAAAAATAAGAAGAATCTTCTAAAAAAAATTTTATATTTTCTAATCTGTGATTATTCTAACGATTTTTTTTCTTTTTTTTTCAAATATTAATGTCGTTTTTAGGATTACAAATTTGTCATACATTTTGTGATATCGTATTTTACAGGAATCATTAAGTACAAAGAAATATTCTATTTTTCTATTATTATTATCTACATTTTCTTCTAATATAATACAACTTTCTTCTAATATTATATTTCAATCCATTTTATAGAAAAATTAAATTAATATGTTTCAGAAGAAAATTATATTTGTAAAAAAATTGATAAATAAACTAACAAAATTAATTCTATTTTTTCTTTTCAGGTAGGATTCAAAGGATATGGTTTAAGTCCAGCAAAATTGGACAATGTTGGAATGTTTGAATATGAAGGAAAGGATTATAAATTACGTCACGGTTCTGTAGTTATTGCAGCAATTACCAGTTGTACAAATACCAGTAATCCTAGTGTCATGCTAGGAGCAGGTAATAAAATAAATTATCTGTTTTTTCCTTATTTAACAGAATTAAAAATATATATATGTATATATATATTTATAAAGATAATATATTTCAGGTCTTTTGGCTAAAAAAGCGGTTGAAGCTGGATTATCGGTTGCACCGTATATAAAAACATCTCTATCACCTGGATCAGGTGTAGTTACGTATTATCTTCAAGAAAGTGGCGTCATTCCGCATTTAGAAAAATTAGGCTTTGATGTCGTAGGTTATGGATGTATGACTTGTATCGGAAATAGTGGTCCTCTTCCAGATGTGATAGTAAATACCATCGACAAGGTATATCAATTTGATAAATTTAAAATATTTGAATCTATGTCGACACAAAACTAAGAAAAAATCTACGACAATAACTTGATTTAACATTTTTCTTACGGTATCCATAACGAAAGGGTTTTATATACTATATATATAATTATATTTATTTTAATTATATTTATAATATATATATTGTAATATACTTATTTATAATATAATATACTATTATATAGTAGTACTATATTATAGTAGTAATAGTAGTTACTATATTATAATAATTTTAATTATATTATACATAATATAATTAAATTTATATATTATATTTATTATATTATTATTATACATTATATATTAATTTATATAATATAATAATTATATATATATATATATTATAATATACTTATTTGGTGGCACATAATCAAAAAGACTTTAGGAAGGAGCTGAGAATAACAGACAATATTTACATGTTAAATTGGGATAGGTAAGGAAGGAGAAGGGAAAGATGATTTATGGAATTCAGGAATGCGTTTAATTCTGTGGACCGTAAGTGTTTTTTTTTTAGGGGAATGGACAGTAGAGGGGTGAGAAAGGAACTCAGGAAAAGGGGTGTTAAGTATAGTGATATAGGGTAAAGGTGAGAGGAGAGGTAGGAGAACGGTTTTGGTCGGCAAAGGGTTTTAGACAGGGATGCTCAAACCCAATAATGACCTGAATGATATTTTTGTTTCAGAACGAATTAGTATGCTGTGGTGTATTATCCGGTAATAGAAATTTCGAGGGTAGAATTCATCCAAATACTCGAGCAAATTACTTAGCATCACCGCTTTTAGTTATTGCATATGCTATCGCTGGTACTGTAGATATTGATTTTGAAAAAGAACCTTTAGGTATGAGATTTATAATCGTATTAATGAATATTACTTTTTTCTTATATAATTGTTATAATAACAACAATTTGTTTTATTTCTTTGTTTAATAGGATACAGGAAAGATGGATCGGCAATATTTCTTCAAGATATATGGCCTACCAGATCAGAAATTCAAAGTGTCGAACAAAAATATGTTATACCGGCTATGTTTAAAGAAGTATATGATAAAATAGAAAAAGGTAGCAGCAATTGGGCAAATTTGTTAGCTCCTAATGGTAAATTATATCCTTGGGATTTAAATTCCACATATATACAAAATCCACCATATTTTGATCATCTTCAGAAGGTGGGTGGGTTATTAATAAGCTTGGAAACTATTCGCTTCTTTTGGCTTTTTGTGGGAATTGATGAAAATCAATCTTAATTTTATATATATATGATATTATATACGATATATATTTCTTCTTTTTATATTATTCAGGAAATTCCTAAAATACAATCTATTAATAATGCACGTGTACTTTTGAATCTTGGTGATTCTGTAACAACCGATCATATTAGTCCTGCTGGTAGCATTGCACGTAATTCTCCAGCTGCAAGATATCTTGCTAGTCGTGGGTAAGTTTGTTATCATTATATTAGATTGTTCGGAAAGTAATTTTGTTTTTTTTTTCCTGCCACAATAAATGCATGAATTTATGCAAAATGGTAAATAACAACACGTGAGATCTATGAGAAGTTAAATTTATCAAATTCACAACTGTTTATGCTCACTCAAAAGGCCTAGGGTTTTTTTAACTTCGAAACAAAAATTGTTTTCATTTTTACAAAAGCAAAATGAAATTACTGTTCGAACAACCCAATAAAATATTCATCATTCTAATAAAGATCTAAGACAAATGTAATTATTGATCATATGTTTTAGATTAACACCAAAAGAATTTAATTCTTATGGTTCACGTAGAGGAAACGATGCTGTTATGGTGCGAGGAACATTTGCAAATATTCGTTTACTTAATAAATTTATTGGTAAACCTGGACCAAGAACAATTTATATTCCAACTAACGAAGAGGTATTAAAATCATCTTCTCATATTATTTTATGTCAATTTAAATCATTTATATTATAAAACATTGTTACATAATACATTAAATTTATATATTTTTCAGATGGATATATTTGATGCTGCAGAGAAATATAAAAAAGATAATATTCCTCTAATATGTTTAGTTGGTAAAGAATATGGATCTGGATCTTCCAGAGATTGGGCGGCAAAGGGACCATACCTTCTTGGAATACGAGCGATAATAGCTGAATCTTATGAAAGAATTCATAGGTGATTATAAAATAAAATGTCTTTAATCTATTCAATTAAAATATATATATAATAATAATATATATATATATTAGGTGGACCCGCGTAAAGTAATGACACTTTGTAATTTTAAATTCAAACAAATAACTTTTTAACAAATTTTTATTATTAAATCAATAATGTAATCAAATCGTGTTATCAACAATCTTTTTTTCACATATTATGCAAAGTTTTAATACCGGACCGTTAAAAATCAATAAGTTTTTGATGAAAATATAAAAATTGACATGTGTAGAAACATTAATACTTTCCGGTCGTCCCCCATATTTATTGATGTACACAACTAATGTAATGTTTTGATTTTAATAGGTCCAATCTTGTAGGAATGGGCATTATACCATTACAATACCTTCCAGGACAAAATGCTGAATCCTTAGGATTAACAGGTTATGAAAAATTTAATATTATTCTCCCTGACGATTTTCAGCCTGGTCAAAATATTACAGTTACGACGGATCAAGGCAAAAGATTTGAAGTTATTGTACGCTTTGATACAGAAGTTGATATAACTTATTATCGGCATGGAGGTATTCTTAATTATATGATTAGAAAGATGCTCTGATAAGTTTATTTTTAATCGCAATTAAATCATTTGAATATGAACAAGTGTTACTTAAGGAGATACTTAAACTCATGCTTAATAATTCATTGTTGATGTATATTATTGTTAAAGGTGGTATGGTATAAAATTGTTTATATTTTAAGATATTATAACAATGTTAAGAAGAGAAAGTCATAAAGTTGGAAAAAAATGTATCTTGGAAATATGAAGTAGTTTTATAATACCCCATGATGACTGCGAATGCATTCGTATATTATATACATAGAAAATATTATTTATGTTATTTCCAAATATATTTTTACTTAAAATTCTTTTTATTGGTCATGTTGTTGACAATTTACAAATTGTTTGTTTTTATTTTTTTCTTGTTCAATTGAGCATATACTATATATATATATATATATATATATAGTACACATAAATATTGTACAAATAATTAAACATTTTTTTGCATAGTCAGTTATTTTACTATAGTCATGAATTTAAATGAACAAATTCATATGTTAACATTTCTTTATAATTTATTTCGTTATAAGCATATCCTGAGAATGTGAGTTCGGTCAAGTGTTGATCTGTGGCCCCATAAAGGTGGCAACTGTCAAAAGCAATACTATAAATAGGACTTGACCTACGCCAATTTAGGAAGTAAATCTAAAAAACAAACAAAAAGAAACAAGAACAAGTTCAATGTTATTTGATATACATATATATATATATAAAAAAATAATATTTATTAACCCTTTCGCTACGAGCGTCGGCTATAGACGACATCCGCGCGATGTCCTGTGTGTACGAACGTCGCCTATAGACGACGTTAGCCACACCTGACCGCAATTTTTGTTTACGCATACTGCACATCGATTGCACTTGTCTCATTCTCTGGTAAGCTCGCGATGTGCACATTTTTCGGCGCAGTGCTTTGTTCAGTGCCGCTACTCCGGCGGCACAGTGGGCCCGTTCAGCGGCGTCACTCTGACGGAGAACACTTCCGTAGCGAAAGGGTTAAGGATAGGTAAGAGAACAAAAAATGACCTGTGCATACTGCTTTTGTCTTTGATCCCACAACACAGCTTTACAGTTAAACTGTGTTCCAGAAATTAAAGTATAATTGTAATCCGAAGAAATACAGTACAATGTTGCACCTGTTGGATCACCCCATTTTGATACGCACATTCCACTTCTATAAAATAAACAACAGAGGATTAGTCAAATTAATTATACTAAATAATATAAAGGGAAAA